AGGGCTGGCACTTACCTCAGGCTGCGTTTCTCTCTCTAGGTTACAAAATATAGGAAGGGTATCACCAAAATAAAAGGTTTCTTTTTGGAGCAAAATCTTAATATGCACTCATAAAGAAACAGTCTTATTTCATAGTCGTGACATTATGGCATATATTTATTTTTATTTTATTTTTGCTTATCTACAAAGACTAAAATTTTGAAGAGTGAAAAAAAAGAGGAAAAAGGTGCTAAATGGGCCGTGCCTTATTTAGGCAATAGCTTATTGGGCCTAAATGAGGCATTCCGGGCTTATCTGGCCATCACGGCCTGTTGGACGATTTTCAGGCTTTCTATGGATCGACCTGGATCAAAGCCTTTTTCTGCCCAAAACCAGGCCCGGCCCGGCGCTGTCCATTGGCAGCCCTATTAAAATTACATCCAGACGACCTTAGGCCTGGAGAATCTTTAAGAAACTGAGAACCAAAGAGAACAGTAGTAGTAGAAACCTGGTTGCTTGAGAACCCTTCTCTGATAACCTACCTGTGAAAATTGGGGGAATCTACTGCTAGCAATTTCACCTATTTGCTAATCTAGAAAGCTGGAAACTGTTGTTTTAGTCATTAATTATGAAACTCATTGTTGGAGTCTAAAATTTATCATTTGATTGAGATTTTTTAGTTGTAAGCTATCCATGTCAGTACTTACATAATGGACAGTTTAGATCGTAAATTTGTTATAAGTTTTCTCTTTCTCCCCGTGATCAATGAAGTTCTCTCCTTGTCCCTTTGATCAAACCTGTCAAATTCCCTTAGCTTTGGTCAAAGCCTTCAGATTTTAAGCCTAGAAGGAAGCGAAGTCAAGGCTGGTGTTATTGCTTAATCGGGTCTACTTCAAGCTGATTCGGCCGAAACTTCGACCTCTTCAGCTAAAACAAAGAAATATCTACATAAAAGTTTTTTATTTCGAAATTTTTATTTTTAATTTGTCTATTATTTTTATGTATGTTAAGTAGATTTATGTAAATATCCATTATATTTATTGTTATTACAGAAAAAACTATTACACTTATATCCATCTTTTCATCTCTATAACATTTTTGAAAAAAGACGAAAATGCTCAAGTTTGATTTTTCAAGAATCAAAATTAAACTAAATTTCATTTTTGAAAAACCGAAATGTAGGGCCGTCCATTTACCTCCATTTCCCCTCTTTCCTTAGGATCTGAGGCAAATTTAGTTAAACATGTGGTTTAAGGCATTAATAAGCGGATCCTCATTCTTTTTGTTTTTGTATTTGTTTTTCTTATTCTTTTTCTTTTTTCCCTTACTGTGGTTTAACTTTAAACCATCATTGAGAGGTACATGATGTTTCATTGAATTAACCATATCTTCTGATGTTGACTTACAATCCAAAAGTTCTCCGGTTCCAACCCACCCATTCTTCAAGTCCACAATCACATGGTAGTATGAGTGGTGAGAAGTATTAAAAAAGGTAACAAATGCCTGGAACTTAACCCATCACAAGCACCCATTACAGTGATTGGGCATTTTGTCTAAAACATGTTGAAACTGAGTTTTTGGCTTATGAAAAAACGAAAAATTATGGCCAATGTTCCAGTAACTTACGGGAAAAATGAAACTGAATATTCGGTTTTTCAAAAACCAAAACTTGAGATTTTTGTTTTTTGGAAAACCGAAAATTTAAGATTTTCGATTTTTAAAAAATAAAAAATCATGGTTAATTTTCTAGTAACTTATTGGAAAATTGAATTTCCAATAAGAAACTTTTAGGCCTAATTTGCTCGTAGAGAAAATTTTAAGATTGGAAGGGTCGTAGAGAAATTTGCTTGTAGAGATATTTGCTCATATATAAAAATTTAAGATTCGAGGGGAGAGAGAAATTTTTTTGGAACCCTAAAATGTAGAGAAAAATGCTCCTAGGATAATGTTATTTCACAAGTTGTAGTGTGAAAATTATCAGTTTTTTTAAAAACTGAAAAAGTTATGAATTCGGATCTTCAAAATCTGAAAAATTCTTAAATTTTTGTTTTTCAAAAACCGAAATCTGTAAAAATTCCTGTTTTTGAAAAAACCGAAAATGAGCAATACTATCTTTTTTATAAAAAAAAAGTATTATGAAGTTTAAAAAATGGATATAGGTGTAATAATGGAAACTTAATAGTATTTTCATAAGGGTGAGGTTTGTATGGAGCCGAGGCTATAAACAATCAAATTAGAGCCTACCATCAAATAGTGTAAAGAAATGTAGTTTCAATATTGGGAATCTTTGTGATAGCCTTAAAATATATTTTCATATCTATTTATAAAATTTAAATCTTCAAAATAGTATAGATCATGCAGATCTATGAAAACTTGAAAAACTTGAAAATTGACGGTCCAAAAATGTGTTACAAGATGCAATACTTTCAAATTTTGAAAACTATTTTTTTCTCATGTCCGTACTTCTTGATATCGAGATGGTCAATTTGAGGATATTTGGGCATCAAAACAACCTCTTTTAGTGAAATTTTCAAGGTAGGCTCCAATTTGATTGTTTAGAGCCTCGGCATTATGTAAACTTTTTCTTTTTCATAATAGCAGTAAATATAATAGATATGGACGTAATTTTTCTTATATTTTATAAATAAATATAAATTAGAAAAGCCTGTAGTCTTCCTTCGAATTGGCTGACGCACCGAATTGCTTCATTTTTCTCATCAAACCGAAGAAGACGCTCAAGCGAATCTGACAATATTAGATCAAACTATTTATTGTAAATAATCATAGATAACATTATTAATTGTTACTCTAAAATAAAGTTCTAACTAAAATGCATAAGGCAAATGTCACATAGGAATTGTATGCAAACCACATCAAACATGAGTTTAAACATCCAAGAAATCAATAAGGATAAGCACTTGATAGATCAAGTGATCATTCATAAATATTCACAAACTATTAGCATATTATTGACACTAATACATAACCTAATGAAGCACCAATACATGATTCAATAAAAAAGGACATGACCCAATAAAAAAACACTAACACGAAGCATCAAACAATCACTTGGCTGTATACACAAGCACATACTAGTTATCACAGAGCTCACTATCGAAAACATTGCATTGCAAGCCATATATTTTATTCACAAGAATGAACAAAGGGAGTAATAATCACAAAAATCAGCGGATCATTTATGAGATAATCCATTCCATACATTTCATTCACATAAATTCTTCTGATATTATGCAAATAAATCATAGCACTGAGATTAAAATTGGTAGTATCAAAGGAAAAGCGAAGAACGAGGAAGATTAATAAAGATGGAGATTAATACTAAACAATGAAGATGATGATTAATAGTAAACAATAGAGAATAACAAAGATGGAGAATAATAATCTCTTTTTTTGAGAAAAAGTCACCATTCATTCATTCATAACAAAGGAACATAACAGTTTTACAGAGCCACACAGGCCCAGAACAACAATCAAAACCAAACAAAACAAATTACAAACAAGAAACCACTACAAGAAACTTACCAAAAAACAACTTGCTAAACATACACCTTCTTTAGCAAGACGATCAACCTCCATATTTGCTTCTCGAAAAACATGATCAAACCTAACATTCACTTCACTGCATTCCATCGTTACATCTCTCATCAATCAATGCAATAACCAAGGAAATTTTGCTTTTCTCTTTATCCACTTTATTGCATTTAGTTAGTCTCCTTCCATCATCATAGGTTTGTTAAATTGCTTAGTCAATTTAACACCTTGTAAACAATACCTCATTTCTGCCTCATTTGTTGTAATATTCCCTGTAGGTCCAAAATATTTCAGCAATACAATCCTTGTACAGTCACGAACAAAACCTTCAATCCCCATAGGGCCTAGGTTACCCATTGAAGTTCCATCAAAGTTCACTTTAATCCACCCAGGTTCTGGTTTTTTTCAAATTCTTTTTCTAACTTCTCTGGTACTTCTTTCTTTTACTAAAATTTTCAGCTTATATATCAAAACCACAGGAGGGACCACCCACCATTCCTTTACAACAGATAGTCATTTTGCAACAGTTATTCTAATCTTTTATTGTAGATCATTAACTAATTTGCTTTGATTTTCAAAGCATCATCTATTTCTTTCTTTCCATAGCTCCTAAATAGTAGCAGATTTCACTAATTTCCAAATATCTTTACCTTTTTTACCCACTTCTGTAATTTTCCAATCATCACTGAATCTATTTGCCTCTAAAAGAGTACTCACTTGCAAACCCAAATACTTAGAAACCCAATTCCAATATTTCTCCCAAAATTACAAGTTAAAAATAAATGAACTGACTCTTCATCTTTTTTGCGGAGCAAGCATACATTGAAAAGCACTTTACCTCTCATTCTCAACATATCAATAGTTAGCAACTTCTTTTGTGTAAGTAACCAAATAAAAGCACGAACTTTAAGAAGGATTGACCATCTCCATATCTTAACTAAGCTTTTATCTACCCATCTTACTCTATTATAGTCAATGTTCGCAAAATCGAACTGGAACGGTTAACCGATTTTGGGGTTGGGAGCGGTTCGAACCGGAACCGGCCTAACCGGGGCGGTTAACCGTTTTAACCGGTCAAGTAGTTCTATTTTTTAAAAAAAAAAAGTAAAATTCATCCAAAAAAATTAAAAAAAATAGAAAAACTTAGATTAAGTGTATACTATTATATTACATATATTTATCTTACAAAAAAAATTGAAACAACTTTTTATATATATTAATATTTGAATACTATGAAGATATACAAGACAATTTAAAATTTGAAATTGATTCAATTAATGAAGTTACAAAGTCCAACTAACAATGCTAGTAATGAGAGTGGCTAGGGGGATCATGATATTGCTGTATTTCACTATCAGGATTTACGGGGCGAAAAATCTGAGTAAGGCTTGGTGGAGTCTATAATACCGCAATTGTGCCCCCTCACCAATCAGGAATATTTCTTGTGGTACTCTCTTGGTCAAAGTCTCTTAGACTCGTCCAGCCTTCATGCTCTTCCCCACCCTGTTCTGTGTTACCCGCACCTCTGTATTACCCCCACACTGTTCTGTGTTATGGCCCTCAGCATCTTCAATATTGTCATCATCATGAATAACCAGGTTACGGTGATGGCCACGGCTTCGTCTCTCCCTTGTTGAGTAACTCCTATGCTTCAATGCCTGGACTTCCTCCCTAGCCAATCTCATTAAATCTTCCTGTTCATCAGGCATCGCATCATGTTGAGCCCCTTCACATTCCTGGATGATTGGTTCTTTCCAATTGTTTTCCATTGTCTCATATGTTTCATCATCATGTGCATCATCTTCATCTTGTGTATAATCGTCATCCATGTCCATTGTCATGTCTCCTTCATTAGATGCTGCAACATTCACATTATCATCCATATCGGTAGCTGCCCCACTAAGAAAATCTTGGTCTATTAGTAGGGTCCTTAGTGACACCCACTCATCAGCGAGGTCCCTCCGGAAGATGTAATCAAGGTTGATTGGCGTGTAGTCTGTGGGGGTCCTCCTTGTATGTTTCTCTCTCAATTTTAAATTATAATAAATGTACACCAAGTTGTACAGCGTCTGTGTCTTTAACCTATTCCGCCTCGGGGCATGTATCCACTGAAATGTACTCCAGTTTCTCTCACAGCCCAAGGCAGCACATGTTTGACTCAAAAATCTAACGGCAATCTTTTGCAATTTCTTTGTTCGAATTCCGTGTATCGTCCACCATTGTGCTGACACAGACAAACATATAAATTCTTAACAATAGAAAATAAATTGATTTTAAAAAAACCACAAATAGTAGTGTACTAAACTATTGCAAGTTTTAACTTAAAACTAACCTGGGTGCAATTTTGCATCTACTTTTTCGGCATTGTTGTATGCAAATTCCACATTTTTTTCCATGTATATGATAAGATAGAAATAACAAGATGCATATACAAGAAATTAGTACTACATAGAAATGTAATTCATTATTGTAAATTGAAATTTTATTACATACACGTTTTGATTAAGGTTTACCTGTTGCATACACTCCATCTGAGTTTCAATATCAGGTTCAAGCCTGTAGATGCAGTTTCTTACCCCTTCCATGATATCTACATAATCTAAAGTGACATTGGAGTACAAATTTTGTGGATTAAGAAAGAACCCTGCACATGGTTTGTTATATTATTAATTACGATAACTTTTCTCATAGTTGAGAAAGAGTCATGAATTGCGACAGTGAATCATAAATTACCCGTTGTATGGATATCCTGATGCAGTTGGTCTCTCCACCTACGATCAACAATCTCCAATATCTCTTCATTCCATATGTTATTCTCAAATATAGCTTCCCTTACACGTCTCATTGCATCGAACAGAAACCCCTTGCGGGTTTATCATCAGAGTCACTTAACTTCAACACCCGTACTAAAAGGTTCAGTTACAGAAACAACATTGTTACATCGAGCACAGAACCTCCGATCGAGAAGGGTGGTTTAAACCTGCCTTCCAAGTTGACTCATTGTTGCCCTATCAGTCTGCCATTCATTAGAGCATATCATTTACTTCAATCCTGCCTTGTTTACCAATATCGATTGTATCGTAAGGAACGCTGGAGTGAATCTGGCAGGGGACTCCTTGACAATCTCTCGCATGCAATGCTCCCTCATCAAAGCATGAAGATACGTGTGATTGTATATAAACCTTGTAATCAACTTGCTCGTATTTAACCCTCTTCAGCTTCCCTATATCCTTGAGCATCAAATTAATACAATGGGCAATATAAGGAGTCCAATAAAGATTGGGTCTTCTCTCCATTAGCAACAAGCATGCTTTTCTGTAATTCGTAGCATTATCAGTCACTACTTGGACGACGTTTTCAGGCCCAACCTCATTTACAATTTTGTATAGGTGTATGCATATCAGTCTCCCAGTATGTCTCTTTCTTGATAAATCAATGCTAGAAATGTAAACAATGCCCCTAGGGCAACCTATTAAAAAATTGACAAGATACCTATAGGACTTGTCCTTCCAGCCGTCAGTCATGATGGTCACTCCTGCACCTGGCTAGCAGATCTTGAACTGTGCAATATGCTTATCAACATCATGAATAATAGCTTCTAAACATGGCTCTGCAAGCTCCTTCGCAGTTGGATCTTTAACACCTAGCCTTGCCTCAGCTATAAAAGCTACCATTTGTGGGTAGAAATCTGAGCTTGCATAATTAAATGGCAGTGCATTAGCATACCAGAACATGCTAATCACCTTTCTCGCTTTTTCTATTAATACACCTGCTGACGGAAATTTTAATTTTTTTTGATGATATTGTGACTTGTGGGGATCAAGTCCAAAGGGTTTGCGGGTCATTGATGACACATCTATGGGTTCATGTCGTTGAGTAGTAGATGGCTGACTATAAGAGGATGGGCGACTAGAGAAACTACGTCTCAATCTGCTAGATGTGGATCTAAGCAATGAAGGCCCACATCCTCCCCTACCCGGTACTACATATTCTTGAGATTGACGGCTATTGGATGCACCATCCCTTCTCCCATACATCTCTTGAATTTTCATTTGTCTATATTAAGCTCTTGAATGCTGGCAATCCTAGGGTGTTCCATTTGTGCCTCAATTTCTGCCTCTTGGTCATCTTCCTCATCTATTGGACTTTCGTACCACCTCCCTATCTCCTCTACATTCCTTTCTCTCTGCACTTTTTTTCCTTTTCCTTCTATAATTATTTTTATCATTTGTTGTTTTACTTATGGTGGCACTTCTTTACAACCGATGACATTACCCTTGACCCAAGCAGGATGTTCTTTTAGGCGATAAATACCACCACCCATTTCCTTGTTACAAAAATTACATCGAATCTTTCCTTTGTCATTCACTTTGTATCATACTGCCATGTCACATCTCCCCTTCTCATCTTATTATTTTCTTGTAAATTTTTCTGAACATAAAAGTTTATTAAAAAAATATTTATTTGGGAAAATCACACTACCAAGGGGACCTTGTAAGCATGGATATTTAAGCCCTACTTTCTCATGAAAATGAACAACTGACAATAACATCCAATACAAATGTGGTGAAATATGTTTTCTAGAGGGCTAAGGTCAAGTAAATCCTTCAATAGGGAATATGAACAAAAATAAGTGCCAAACCTTTCCCAAAGCACATGGTACACCATGAAATTGAATAACAGCAGCAACCTATTAAACAAGAAGCAATCCATATAAAGATACCTCAATTCCTGATGAGCAGTTTGCATTTCATGTGATAGTGCTCCTTGCCATGAATATATAAAAAGTATTTCTCAAAAGGTTCTAATTGGATGCATCAGAAGGGAAAAATACATCCACTTTCCAAAAGTGGACTTTAATACACTCCTTGTTATACGTTTAAACTATAAAGCATGCATTGCTCCAAGGAGTTCTACAAGCTAGTACAAAAATACTGCATTTATGATGAAACTGGCTTGGAGATTGGTTGCAAATCCCACCTCTCTGATTTCTTGTTTTTTCAAGCATAGATATTTCAGAAGTTCATCTATAATATAAAAGGATTTAAAAAACCTCAATTGCTCTTATGCCTGGAAGGGAATTCAAATGGGATTATCTTATCTCAGACATAATGTCAGGTGGATTATTGGGGACGGTCGGACAGTGGAATTCTGGGCAGATCCTTGGTTATCAGAGAAGTCTATTTGGGAGTCTTATGGTGCACAGGTTCATGAAGATCTTGATGTTTTTGCTGAACCTAAGGTACTTGATTATTTACAAGGTTCCCCTCAGACATAGTTGCTCCCTTCTGCCTCTTGGTCATCTTCTTCATCTATTGGACTTTCGTACCCCCTCCCTATCTCCTCTGCATTCCTTTCTCTTTGTACTTTTTTTCCTTTTCCTTCTATAATTATTGTTATCATTTGTTGTTTTACTTATGGTGGCACTTCTTTACAACCGATGATATTACCTTTTATTCAAGCAAGATGTTCTTTTAGGTGATAAATACCACCATTCATTTCCTTGTTACAAAAATTACATCGAACTCTTCCTTTGTCATTCACTTTGTACCATACTGTCATGTCACATTTCCCCTTCTCATCTTATTATTTTCTTGTAAATTTTTCTGAACATAAAAGTTCATTAAAAAAATATTTATTTGGGAAAATCACACAACCAAGGGGACCTTGTAAGCATGGATATTTAAGCCTTACTTTCTCATGAACATGAACAACTTACAATAACATCCAATACAAATGTGGTGAAATATGTTTTCTAGAGGGCTAAGGTCAAGTAAATCCTTCAATAGGGAATATGAACAAAAATAAGTGCCCAAACCTTTCCCAAAACACATGGTACACAATGAAATTGAATAAGAGCAGTAACCTATTAAACAAAAGCAATCCATATAAAGATACCTCAATTCCTGATGAGCAGTTTGCATTTCATGTGATAGTAATCCTTGCCATGAATATATAAAAAGTATTTCTCAAAAGGTTCTAAATGGATGCATCGGAAGGGAAAAATACATCCACTTTCCAAAAGTGGAATTTAATACACTCCTTGCTATACATTTAAACTATAAAGCATGCATTGCTCCAAGGAGTTCTACAAGGTAGTACAATCGATCAATTATGTATGTTGATCAAAATTGAAGATCTGATAACATATGCTGCCAAAACTGAAACCTCTATAAAAATGGGCTTTAAACACAATTAAAGTTGAACAACTAAATATATCCAATTTTCATAACATTGCTGCATACATAAAGATATAAAATCTTAAGGTTTTATGACACAATTGCATAATGAAGTATAGTCAACAGGTAGTCCGATACTTAAAGAATACTTGGAATCCTTAGTATTTTTTGAATTAGAATGATTCTAG